TCCATGAAGACCCGATCTAATACACTGCCCCATCTACCCATTCAAATACACTGCCCACAAATCCAATAAATTGCTCCCAAATCTAATACACCACTGCCCCCAAATCCAATACACTGCCTCCCCTCCCTCTACTCTAATACACTGCCCTCCACCCAATCTAATACACTGCCTCCCCTCCCTCTACTCTAATACACTGCCCCTCCACCCAATCTAATACACTGCCCCCACTCCCACCACTCTAATATAATACACTGCCCTCCCCCCTAATTTAATACACTGCCCCCTCCCCAAATGTAACACACGGCCCCCCTCCCACCACTCTAAATACACTGCCCCTGTCCCCCAATTTAAACACACTGCCCCCTCCTTCCCTCAATTTAAAGGACCACTCTAGGCACCCAGACCACTTCAGCTTAATGAAGTGGTTTGGGTGCCTGGTCCAGCTAGGGTTAACCCATTTTTTCATAAACATAGCAGTTTCAGAGAAACTGCTATGTTTATCAATGGGTTAAGCCTTCCCCTATTTCCTCATTCCTCAAGAGGCGCTTGCGTGCTTCTCACTGTGAAAATCACAGTGAGAGCACGCAAGCGTCCATAGGAAAGCATTGATAATGCTTTCCTATGTGACCGGCTGAATGCGCGCGCAGCTCTTGCCGCACGTGCGCATTCAGCCGACGGGGCGGATCGGAGGAGGAGAGGAGGCAGAGAGCTCCCTGCCCAGCGCTGGAAAAAGGTAAGTTTTAACCCCTTTCCCCCTTCCAGAGCCGGGCGGGAGGGGGACCCTGAGAGTGGGGGCACCCTCAAGGCACTATAGGGCCAGGAAAACGAGTATGTTTTCCTGGCACTATAGTGGTCCTTTAATACACTGCTCCCCTCCCTCAACTTAATACACTGCCCTCCCCCAATTTAACAGTGCCCCCCCCCCACCACCACTCTAATACACTGCCTCCCCTCCCACCACTCTAACCAGGGCTGCCATCAGGGGCCCAGTCAGCGATGTGACCGCGTAATAGCACGACTGGGCCCATTTAAAAATGGCATCCGCACCGCAAGTACAGCTGGGAGGAAGTGATGGCCTGTCATGTCCTCCCAGCTTACTCCACGCGGGAGGAAGAAGGCAGAGTGGAGACCGTGAGGAGGGGAGAGCCACCGACTCCCGTCAGCCCCAGCCACTCTCCTGCACTGTAAAGGTAAGAAACAAGAGGGTGGCTGAAAAATGAGTTGCATTTGTGTGTGTGTCAGTGTGTATGTATGTATGTGTGTCTATGTCAGTGTGTATGTGTGCCTCAATATGTATTTGTATGTATGTGTTTGTATGAATGTGTGTCTGTACTTGTGTGTGTGTGTGTGTGTGTGTGTCTATGTATGTATGTCTGTATGTGTGTGTCTGTCTGTCTGTCAGTGTCTGTATCTATGTCAGTATGTATGTGTGTATGTCAGTATGTATGTTAGGTTGTCCTGAGTCTGAATGGGCATTTCTGAGTGGAGAGCCTCAAGGCATATGATGATTTGGAGCCTGCACAAGCTTTTGACTACAAGTCACAACAGCGGTTCGTGCCCAGACAAAGCTGTACGGTCACAAATGTTTGACTTGAAAAATCTTGCCAGAGGTTAATTCAGCCAGTCACATCGTGGAACAGCTTGTGATGGACCAGTTCCTGAGAGGATTGCCTGTTTCCCTACAGCGGTGGGTCAGCCAGAGTGATCCTAAAACGGCTGATGAACTAGTTGCTGTAGTGGAATGGTATGTGTCTGCAGGAGCGTTTCTGGAACTCTCCAACCAGGAAAGACCTAGGAGCCTGAAGATCCAGAGTCCCAGTAAATGGGGTAAGACTGTTCCAGGGAAAAAGGTGGTCTTGGGAGGAGCAGATGTGTTTGTACAACCCAAAGGACAATTCAGCAAAGGGCAAAAATTTTGTTAGGCTGGAAGATTCTACACAAACCCACAAAATGATGCCTAATTTTAACATTGTGTTTTCTATACAAAGAATATGGACATATTGCAAAAGTATGTTGTTGCAATGGAATGGAATGTTGGTGATAAGAGGGATGATTACTCTCTTTTCTCCAGCTCAGTATATGCAGTCACCAAAAATGATTGTCTAAAGGGCCATCCCTGGTGTACTGTAAGGGTAGAGGGAAGAGACGTAAATGCTTTACTAGATTCTGGGAGTATGGTTACGCTTCTAGACCAAGGTCTGTTAAGAAATATTCAAATAAATAACTCCCAGAATATAGAAATTGCCTGTATACATGGTGACACACACCATTACCCTACTACTGAGGTAATTTTTGAGACGCAAAGTGGCACTGTAAATCATACAGGTGGTCTGGTAAAGCAATTAGTCCATGAAATGATAATTGGCAGGAATTTTCCCCATTTTTTGCATTTATGGACGGACACTGAGCAAGATAAATCAGTACCCATAGAGGTCACTGTTAGTGACTTTCCATTTTCCAATTTATTGGGGGATGACTTGGACAGAAAAACCCTAGCTGGAAATAACACTGAACAGAGGGATGCCAATCCATCTAGTAGACCCAGGGCCGCCAACCAGGGCCCATCCGGGCCCCACGTTTAGTGGCGGAACTGATGGGGCCTATCAGGTGGCCCACGCACTTAGGATCACCCAATGGGCCTTATATCCTCAGGGGCCCGGTCAGCGCTGTGGCCGTGTAGTAGCGTGACCAGGCCCCTTAAAAAAAAAAAAAAAAAAGCAGCCGCAGTGCAAGTGCTGCTGGGAGGAAGTGGTCACTTCCTCCCAGCTCACTCAGCGCAGGAGGAGAGCCAGCCAGGCAGTGAAGAGGGAGAGCCACACAGACTCCCATCAGCCCAAGCCACCCTCCTGCAAAGAAAAGGTAATAAACAGGAGAGTGGCTGAAAAAATGAGCTGTGTGTGTATGTATGTATATATGCCTGTCTGTCTGTACATACAAACATGTCTGTCTGTATGTATGTATGTATGTATGCCAGTATCTATGTATGTATGTCTGTATGTCATTATGTGTGTACGAATGTCAGTGTATGTATGAATGTATGTCAGTATGTATGTATGCAAGTATGTCATTATGTGTGTATGCCAGTATCTATGTATGTATGCCTGAATGTCATTTTGTGTGTATGAATGTCAGTGTATGTATGAATGTATGTCAGTATGTATGTATGCAAGTATGTCATTATGTGTGTATGCCAGTATCTATGTATGTATGCCTGAATGTCATTATGTGTGTATGAATGTCAGTGTATGTATGAATGTATGTCTGTATGTATGCCAGTATCTATGTATGTATATCTGTATGTCATTATGTGTGTTTGTATATCAGTATGTATGCCTGTATGTATGTCATTATGTGTGTATGAATGTCAGTGTATGTGTGTCTGCATGTCATTATGAATGTGTGTGTGTATGTATGTATGTATGGATGTCAGTGTCTGTATGCATTTATGTCTGTCTGTATGAATGTATGGATGCCAGTGTGAAAGGATGTCTGTGTCTGTATGTCCTTATGCATATGTGTCTGTATGTATGTTAGTATGTGTCTGTCTGTCACTATGTATGCCTGTGTGTCTGTATATGTGTGTATGTCCAAGTATGTTTGTGTCAGTATGTATGCCTATATGCGTTTATGTCTGTTTCAGTATGTGTGTCTGTTAGTATGTATCAGTGTGTGTGTGTGTGTGTGTGTGTGTGTATCTGTGTCCTTTTGTATCAGTGAATGTGTTTGTGTCTGTGTGTGTATTCCTGTGGGTGGAATTTGGAGGCGGTCCCTGTGGGCGGGCTTGGAGGCGGCCCCCTGGGGGCCCAGACCCTGAGCTGAGTTAGGGGCCCCAAAATTTCTGGTGGGAGCCCTGAGTAGACCTGAACATGTTCTAGAACTGACTGACTTAGAGGTTAACCTGGGTAACTTCAGAGCTGCACAGTGGGAGGACTCCACTTTATCTGAGGCTAGAAACCATATCTTCATGGGGAATGGAACCCCTGTTGATCCCAACAAAACCCCTTCTCATCCATATTTTGAAGTGGAAAATGATTTACTTTACAGAGTTGGAAAAGTAGATGCTGTTAAACAACTATTGGTACCTCAGGCATATGGAGACACAGTATTGCATCTCACACATAGCCATAGTCTTGGGGGATACCTAAGGGTTGATAAGAATATAGAGAGAATTCTCAGGAGGTTTTATTGGCCAGGTGTAATGGTGTCAATTACACATTATTGTTCATCCTGTACTGATTGCCAATTAACTGCCCTTCTAACAACATATCATAGTCCCTTAGTACCCTTGCCCATTATAGAGGTTCCCTTTGAACACATTGGTATGGACTTTATGGGCCCTCTTATAAAATCTGCTAGAGAACACCAGTACATATTGGTAATAGTAGACTATGCTACTCGTTACCCTGAGGCAATACCTATGCATACAACTTTAGCAAAAGCTATTGCTAAGGAACTAATATTGATGTTCAGTAGGGTTGGGATTCCCAAGGAAATACTGACAGATCAGGAAACTCCATTTAGGTCCCGAGTTACAAAAGAATTATGCAATCTCCTTCATATAAAGCAGCTGAAAACTTGGGGGGGATCTTGGAGGGACATTAGCTCCCCCTTTAATTAATTAAAGTCCCCACCAGCCGCTCATGGGTGGGGACCCCCCATTATTTATTTATGGTCCCCACCAGCTGCTTATGGGTGGGGGCAGGGGGGACATTAGGTCCCCCCTTTAATTAATTATGGTCCCCACCCACCCAATATTTATTTATTTACAGTCCCTACCCGCCACTCATTGGTGGGGACCAGGGGGGACAGTAGGTTTCCCGCTTTAATTAATTAGGGTCCCCACCTGCTGGTCATGGGTGGGGACATTAGGTCCCCCCCATTATTTATTTATTTATTTAGGGTCCCCACCTGCCGCTCATGGGTGGGGACCAAGAGGAACATTAGGTCCCCCCATTTATATTAATAGCCCTATGTCCCCCCCATTTTAATTATATGTCTTCCCCACCATGAGGGAACGGGGAGACCTGTGCTAGGTCCACCCTTATTGCACTAGCGACTGGGCAGCAATAGCTGCTCAGTCACTAGTTGTTTTAAATTACAGCGAGCAGCCACTGGCATGCCGTGAGTAGGGGCATGCGGGAGGATTTAACCTCCCTTTTATCAGTTTGGGGGTCATAGTGACACCCATACTGATTTATATTTAGTCTGAAATGACAGCGAGGAGCCACTGGCTGCTCGCTGTCATTTAAAACTGGATATAAATGTATCCTTTATAGAAGTGTTAGAGCTACGGTAAGAGTACGTGTGAAAAGTAGCTATTTAGATCTAAATAGCTACTTTTTCATATTGCAACATTGTTATAGTTTTTGCTATAACTTTTGGTTACACATACTCATACCGTAGCTCTCTATCACTTCTTTGTAAGATACTGATTTTTATATCCAGTTTTAAATGGCAGCGAGCAGTCACTGGCTGCTCGCTGTTTAGGTGACATGCCCCTACTACACGGGAGGGACCTGGCACAGGTAGGGGCACGCGTGAGGATTTAACCTGTGCCAGGTCCCCCCTTATTGCACTAGTGACTAGGCAGCAATAGCTGCCCAGTCACTAGTAGTTTTAAATTTGTTTAGGCGACATGCCCCTACTCGTGAGTAGGGGCATGCGGGAGGATTTAACCTCCCTTTTATCAATATGGGGGTCATAGTGACCCCCATACTGATTTATATTTAGTTTGAAATGACAGCGAGGAACCACTGGCTCTTTGCTGTTTAGGCAACATGCCCCATACTCCTGGCATGCCGCGACTAGGGGCACGCGGGAGGATTTAACCTCCCTTTGATTAATATGGGGATCATAGTGACCTCCATATGTGTTAATGCGGGGGGTAGGAATGGTTATTTGTTACAAGGAGGATGCTGGTGGCGCTGCCTGCTCCCTCTTTGCTTTTTTTTTTTTTTTGCTAATGCGCAGTGCTGTCCTAAAAAACACAATTTTTTTTAACGAATTCTGTTCAAAAACAAATGGTTTGCAGCCGAAATGTGTGATTGACGAATTAAATTTCTATTTAGTACGAAATAATTTGGTGCGCAACAACAGAGAAATAAAAATCGTATTCACTATGGACCTCTTATAGAGAGTGAAAGTAACCCTGTGTACATAAAATGAGGTGTTTACAGAGTGGAAATATTATAAATACTTTAAAACCAAACAGTGGTTGTGGTAAAACAAAGCACAATCTGTAGGTATACTTGCAAACATGGAAATCACTCTGACACCTATTAAGGAGACAAAAACAGAAAGAGAGCTCCTAGTGCAGCGTAGTAATAGGCTTATAAATAAAATAAAGCAAACAGAGGTGCCCTTTAGGTGTTACACTCACAAGATTGGAGTGGTAAAAGCACCACTCGTTGCTATAGCACTCAGGGAGGATCAGCCCCTAGAGTGCGTGGGATCCGTGGAAAGGAAGCTTGCAATCCGGATGTCAGGTAAGTATACTTTATTAATAACAAATTAAAAAACAGCAAAACTTGTTGTGGAGTTAGTTAGTCCGCTCACCAGCCTCAGTAAACCGCAAAGAAAGTTCCATATACTTATGTAATGTAAAAAAATCTTCCGGCTGCTGTCCTGGTTGCTGTTGCCGACTGTCTCCAAATCACTTCCTGGTTCCGGGTCCGTAATGCATTTCGCCCCACCCACAGGGCTTTGTCAAACGGCTGATGCTTCCTCCCACTATCCTGTGTCTTATATACACCAGTCCATGTTACCAACCATTTTAAAATCAATACAAACTTTCTCATCAACATTTCAGAGTCCAAAATAAGTCTCTTATTAGTAGCACTGCTGATCCCAGTGCCAACTGATAGAAATGGGGTCTCAGATATTTAAAACTATGAATATATACAAAAAAAAAATATATATATATAATAATATTGCCTAAATCAATTTTTTTTTTTTTACATATTTCTGTGAGCAATAAGAAACTCTACAAAAACTTATTTTACTCAATTAGCATTATGAATTTAAGTAACTCTATACACATTTAAAATTCTAAATAAAAAAGACAATTTCTTTTCTTAAAGTGGCAGCACACATTCTCATAATACTACTACAAATCCGTCTAAAAACCTAATTAGGAAACAAAAAACATATACACCCCTACATAAATGGGGGTATTTAGCACTTTGAAACTTATTTCATGGCAGCTCATTTGTTTAAAAAAAAACAACTACTTTTAAAAATACTTAAAACTTAAAAAAGGGGGTATATTGCCTAAACCAAATTTTGCACATATTTCCATACGTAATAAGAAATTCCTCAAAAATATTTTTGTTTAATTAGCATTGTGGATATAAATAAATATGTTTATGATGTTACAGTCAATAAAAAATATATACTACATAAAAAAATATAAAAACACAATTTAAGATCAAAAATATAAAAAAATATAGCTTCCTTTCCACGGATCCCACGCACTCTAGGGGCTGATCCTCCCTGAGTGCTATAGCAACGAGTGGTGCTTTTACCACTCCAATCTTGTGAGTGTAACACCTAAAGGGCACCTCTGTTTGCTTTATTTTATTTACAAGCGAATTACTACGCTGCACTAGGAGCTCTCTTTCTGTTTTTGTCTCCTTAATAGGTGTCAGAGTGATTTCCATGTTTGCAAGTATACCTACAGATCGTGCTTTGTTTTACCACAACCACTGTTTGGTTTTAAAGTATTTATAATATTTCCACTCTGTAAACACCTCATTTTATGTACACAGGGTTACTTTCACTCTCTATAAGAGGTCCATAGTGAATACAATTTTTATTTCTCTGTTGTTGCGCACCATCACTACTGTAAGTTATTTAATGATTAGCACAGGACTGCTATAAAATTTCCCTGTCAGGTATTCACAGAGAGAAGGACAAGCAGTATGTGAGACTGCATTTCTCCCTACTAGAATCTTCATGTTTTGAAGGAGAAAGGACACGTTTATTTGAAAAAAAAGGTCTGTGCTCAAATTTGTATTTTTTTATGGTTGGAAGTGGGTAAGCCACCCAACAGCAGTTAGAGAAAAAACTGTCAGCTAGTGCTCGGACGAGCAAGGCTTTTATTTTTGTTTGTTTAAAGTGCCAGACCTTTTAATAAAGAAAAAGACTGCATTTACAAGAAATACAATTTGTGTGGTGTTCCTATCATTAAGACTGTGTGGTTGTATGGTCCCAGGTCACAATATATATATCTATATCTATATCTATATATATATATATATATAGAGAGAGAGAGAGAGAGAGAGAGAGAGAGAGAGAGAGACACACACATCCACTGCATCCACTACACATGCACTTACACACACTCCAGCCAATACACAAACACACACTGCATCTACAAAAGACACACCCTGTATACACTCTACAAACACTACTTCCTTGTGGGCGGATTTGTTTTAGGGGCCCCTAAATTTCTGAAGGCAGCCCTGACTCTAACCCACTGCCCTGCTCCCTCCCCCAAGTTAATACACTGCCCTCCCCCCAATTTAACACACTAAAGACATTCACCTGGTTGTTATTATTTTCTAAATCTTCTAAATTTCTATTAAAATATATGGGGATGTCTTCAATTCTGATGCATCTTATTTTCAAAAAACACTGAATTAATTTTAATTGCAGATTGCAATGATATCAACATGCAATGAATTTTCAGATCTACAATTAAGGATGAGTGAAAAGAAGATATTAAACACTTTGAATAAAGACAAAAACAGGGCAACTATTCGGTAAGATTCAATTAAAAAAAGAGAGAAACCTATTAGTCCATATTGGTATTTGATATGTATTTATATTGTTTAGTTTTCTTTCCTTATTAGATTTTCAGTTATGATGAGTGGAATGCACATTGTTTGTGTTATGAAATAATTTCTCTGATGAATATTAACACAGGCTCTAAAGGTTTTTATACAGAACGTAATCATTGTAATACATTGAGGTAACCTGTGGATTTAATGAAAACTATAGCATTAGTAATACAAGCATGTATTCCTAATGTTATAGTGTTCTACTCTTTATTTAGCTTAAGTCCCCCCCACCCCAAATTTTAAATTAAAAAAAAAAAAGTTTTACTAACCCTTTTCTAATGCTGAGTCCACTCGCTGTACCACGATGTCTTCATGGACACTGTAACCTTTTCTTCTCTCATAGAGAAGCATTGGGGACAAGAAGCATGGCAAGCATCATGCTTGTCCAATCAAATGCTTCTCACAGGGAAGCATTAAAACTTTTGAAATCTCAGGAAGAGGAAGCACTCAGGGGAGAGTGCTCCCTCGCGCGCGCGCCAGCCTGCCCGTCCGCCCTGTGACCCGCTGCCCAGGAGCCCAGCAGCACCCCTGGACCCCAGGGAATCCCCTCAGGATTCCAAAAGGTCTTAACCGGTTTCTACCCTTGATAAAGGCAGCCAGTTGGTGCCGAATAGTTGGGGGGTTTGGTGACTCGTGTTTCTGTCTTGAGGTTTGTAAGAATTTTTGTGGTAATTTATTATTTTATTGTATTTGCCCTTGCTTCTGTCACTTTGTTTATTTTTTCTTATATGTTTTCACTCTGGTACTTTTTTGTACATAATAAAGCTAAGTTTTTTTGAGATTGTTATAGTGTGCATTCTATATTCTATATACATTTGAATATTTAAAGCACTTGAGGGAGTGTTTATATGGCTGTTCTTATACTATTTTGTCTCTCCATGTGCAGTTGTTTTGAGCTTAACAGGTTTCTAACACATTTCATATGCAAATCCTGAAATACACTCCTTAATGACAGGCTGTACTTTGTGTGTCCTCAAAGCAAAACGCAACTCTGATCTTGTTTCATAAAAGCACTCAGTTGAACTGGTGCAAATATACATTAGAAATAAACAGGGCTGGGAGCGGAGCCAGCAGCTAACCAGAGCAGAGGTGCTTCAGCAGACCTCCGACAAAATAAGCCTGAAACAGCAAAATAACCCCTTTTAAAACACCCTATTTCGACCACCATTGCAATAAATTAAGATGGGGAAGAAGAACAAACATCTGGGGGCTGTGAAACCGACAGCGGCACAAGACATTGGAGACCTCTTCCTTCAGCCTGCAAAGGCCTCAAGCCTCAACGTGCCAAAACAACATGGCGACACGGCCTCGGCCTCCTCCGAGGAACAAGCGATGGATGAGCTAGATGAATTCCCACACTCAGGGGGACTGCACCACCCCTCATCCGATGAGGATAATGAGCTGCCCTCTACAAAAGGGGATATTAAAGCCCTTCTCTGCCACATCCGCAACTGTTTGCAGCAGACATCACCACGCTGCGAGAAGAAATACACAGCGTGGAAGAACGAATCAAGTCTGTGGAGGAAGACTCGCAGGGTCTCACTGCACGATACACGCAGCTGGAAGCCCACAACGCAGAATTGCAGCGCACCCAGTCTCAGCTTAACAGCCGCCTAGATACTTTGGAGGACTGACACAGGAGCAGGAACGTTAAGATCCGGGGGATCTCGGAGACAGTGGCCCCCGGGGACTTACCACAATACATCAGGAGGCTTCTTACCTCTTACTCATGCCACAACAGGCAAAAACAGCCACAGTCGATGGGGTCTACCGCATACCAAGGGCTGCCAGAGCACTGGCAGACACCCCATGAGATGTCATACTGCAACTCCTGACACGGTCGGCCCAACTCACCTTCATGGCAGCGGTGAGAGGGAAAGCCACTATCCCATTTGAAAACACCACCCTGTCCTTCTACCAGGACTTGTCCAGACCCACCTTACTCTGGAGAAGCCGGCTTAAACCGCTGACCACTACGCTCCGCCAACACTCCATCCCTTACCGCTGGGCATTCCCCAGGAGCCTGGTCATCTCCCATGGGGGAGCGACAACCAGCACAACCGAAGCGGAGGAGATGGAATCGGTACTCACCGCACTGGGGCTACCGCAACACTCAATACAAACCACCCAGGTCCCGAGACAACAACCCCCTCACATATGGGACGTATCTAAAGTCTGACCGTTCCAGGTGACCGGAGCCGCCGCATCACCTTCTACAGCGTTCAAAGCACAAAGGGCCGGCCGTCAGCCAACGGGCACCTGAGAGGAAGGAGAGACAGCAGGGCGGCAAGGCCACTGGACTACATAAACAAGTTTGACTTTAATTTCATTTAAACTTTAATTTTGTTTTTATATCTTATTCAAAGTTGCCTAACCTGTTTCAACGCATCATGACCCACCTGTGTATTATGCATCCAGAATCAGGCTGTAAGCACATTTTCACTTGCATACTTGCGGGGCTATATAATGACATAGTTAGGCGCATAGGCGTGCGCAGCCTATTGCATTAGGGTGTGCACCCTAAAGCACAAGCACACGCCGCGTATATATATGTATGTGTGTATACACACACATACACTGCTGTGTGTGAGGGTGCTGGTAGTGTGCTATGTGGGTGAGGGTGTTTGTGTGTGCGCTTGTGAGGGTGCTGGTAGTGTGCTATGTGGGTGATTTGTGTGTGTGTGTGTGCGCTTGTGAGGGTGCTGTTAATGTACTGTGTGTGAGGGTACTGGTAGTGTGCTGTGTGTGTGTTTGTTAGGGTCCTGTTAATGTGCTGTGTGAGGGTGCTGTTTGTGAGGGTACTGTTAGTGTGCTGTGTGTGTGTGAGGGTGCTATTTGTGTGCTGTGTGTGTTTATGAGGGTGCTGTATGTGTGTGGGTACTGTATGTGTGTGTGTGGGTGCTGTGTGTGTGTGGGTGATGTATGTCCTGTTTGTGTGCTGTATGTGTGAGGATGCTGTGTGTGTGTGGGTGATGTTCGTTTGATGTGTGTGTGTGGGTGCTGTATGTGTGTGCTGTATGTGTGTGCTGTTTGTGTGTGTGTGCTGTTTGTGTGTGTGTGCTGTTTGTGTGCTGTATGTGTGTGTGTGCTGTTTGTGTGCTGTATGTGTGTGTGCTCTATGTTTGGGTGATTTGTGGGGGTGGAGGTGGGGGCAGATTAGTTAATAAAGATCCCCCTCCCTTCTTACCTTATGTAGGGAGGGTGGACCGTGCTGCTGCCTTCCCTGGTGGTCCACTGGAGGTGGGGGCAGATTGCTTAATATCCCCCCTCCCTTGTTACCTTATGCCAGGGAGGGGGGATCCTTTCTGCCTTCCCTGGTGGTCCTAGTGGTGAGAGTGAACTCTAGCCTGCGGGGCTAGAGTTCACTCTCGCGAGATCTGAGAGTTGCCGCGTTAACCGCGGAAACGCTCAGATCTCGCGAGAGGAACCCGGCGGAGCTGCTGGCTAGAGCTCCCCCGGTCCTCTCCTGCCCCCCTCCTTGCCTGTGGGTCAGTGGGGAGGGATAGCGCCGGCTCTGCATGAGTCGACAGGGGAGATCCTGAGATCTCCCCTGCCGGTCTCAATACATAGGCGTGCCGCGGGGATTAGGGTGTGCCCAGGCACACCCGGCACACCCCGTGCGCACGCCTATGGTAGGGAGCAACCTGCCTCACAGACCCAGAGTACCCCCTCTACTTGAATCGAACTAGTTTGCAAACCATGTAGCTTGACCAACAAGTACACTCAAGGGGTCAGGTCCTAAGCGAATCCTTAACACTAATTATAAGCGACAATATAATGATGACACCAGATCAACCGGCCACTAAACCCCATAGTACCGTGTTTCCCCGAAAATAAACCCTACCCCGAAAATAAGCCCTAGTCGGATTTTCGGGGTGGGCTGCAATATAAGCCCTACCCCGAAAATAAGACCTAGGCATTGTACCTTTGCGGCGAGACTTCCTTCTTCTACTGTAGGAGGAGCGTTGTGGGCAGCGGCATCGCGCAACGTGATGACGACATTTTGCAGCGCCGCCAGTCTGCCTTCATGGATCTTCAGCGGAAGGATCCATTTCCGGGCGGTGAGGCACCCAGTGGTCGGACTCGGCAAGGAATCTTTGAAATGTGAGTACCGGTAGATATTTTATGTCTGGGACTGAATTAAAGGGGGCGGGGGTGAATTAATTAAAGGGGGGGGTGAATTAAAGGGTGGGCTGGATTAATTAGAGGGCGGTGAATTAATTAAAGGGGTGGTGAATTAATTAAAGGGTGGGCTGGATTAATTAGAGGGGGGTGAATTAATTAAAGGGGTGGTGAATTAATTAAAGGGTGGGCTGGATTAATTAGAGGGGGGTGAATTAATTAAAGGGTGGGCTGGATTAATTAGAGGGGGTGAATTAATTAAAGGGGTGGTGAATTAATTAAAGGGTGGGCTGGATTAATTAGAGGGGGTGAATTAATTAAAGGGGTGGTGAATTAATTAAAGGGTGGGCTGGATTAATTAGAGGGGGTGAATTAATTAAAGGGGTGGTGAATTAATTAAAGGGGTGGTGAATTAATTAAAGGGTGAGCTGGATTAATTAGAGGGGGTGAATTAATTAAAGGGGTGGTGAATTAATTAAAGGGTGGGCTGGATTAATTAGAGGGGGGTGAATTAATTAAAGGGGTGGTGAATTAATTAAATGGTGGGCTGGATTAATTAGAGGGTGGTGAATTAATTAAAGGGGTGGCGAATTAATTAAAGGGTGGGCTGGATTAATTAGAGGGTGGTGAATTAATTAAAGGGGTGGTGAATTAATTAAAGGGTGGGCTGGATTAATTAGAGGGGGGTGAATTAATTAAAGGGGTGGTGAATTAATTAAAGGGTGGGCTGGATTAATTAGAGGGGGTGAATTAATTAAAGGGTGGGCTGGATTAATTAGAGGGGGGTGAATTAATTAAAGGGGTGGTGAATTAATTAAAGGGTGGGCTGGATTAATTAGAGGGGGGTGAATTAATTAGAGGGGATGGATTAATTAAAGGGGGGGTGGATTAATTAAAGGGGGTGGATTTATTAAAGGTGGGGTGGATTAATTAGACAGTATGGTATTTTGATCCCCAGACAAGATGAGTGCAAAGAGAAAGAGCTGTACATACTGGTAACGTAAATAAATAAGCCCTACCCTGAAAATAAGCCCTAGTGTGTTTTTTGTGACTAAAATTAATATAAGACCCGGTCTTATTTTCGGAGAAACACGGTATGTTATCACACTATCAAATAAGATCTGTTACAGGCATCAACTGTTCAAATAAAGAAGTACAATATAGGTTTCCACAGCACAGTAATATGTTTCACTTACATGCCTACTATGCCTTATTCTGACAGTGCAGCAGTTTAGATCAGCTTGTTATACACACGGAAAGTTGTGAAATCTTTGGTTTGACTTAAGAACCACCCTGAATCCTCTAACACCTCACCGCTAGCTTAAGCATTAATCCATCCACCCATTCCCTGCATAACGTTACTCTAGACATCAGTTACTTCTACTTACAATGTGCAGGACTTCTATATAAACATCAATCTACAGTATAAGCATGACTACATTATATAAAAATGTGCATGTCTCTTTTCTGCCATGACATTGTATAACTGTTTGACTATATCGGTTTGTTGTGCCATCGTGGCTCTGCAGACCAGTTTGTAACTCTTTGCACGAAAAATAAAGAATTAAAAAAAAACACTTTTAAAATCTCAAACAAAATAATAATTTTTTATTGCCTTTCATTTATGTAAACTTTTTACATTAATAATCCAATATGTAGTACCAATGTCGATATAAAGTTCTGCGGTACAACAAGTAAAAATCATACTTTCCTATTTGTTTAATTATATTTGTACTTTACATGTAGGTATCCAATGGAGGGAAAGATCAAATCTAGAGAAATGAAAGTAAATTGGTAAACCTTTTTTATTCAACTATATTACTGCTGAAATTCCTATTTTTATTAAAATGTGCCTAGCAAGATGTATTTTTAACAGCTTAACCCCTTAAGGACGGAGCCAAATGTACACGTTGTGAACGAAACAAAATGTAAACAAAACCTGGCATTTGCGCTACATGTCTGTCCAACCGTAATTCACCTCTTTCATATTAAATACACCCACCCTTATTATATATAATTTTATTCAGGGGAAACAGGGCTTTCATTTAATATCAAATATTTAGCTATGAAACATAATTTAATATGAAAATAATTGGAGAAAATAAGATTTTTTTTGATTTTTTTAGTTCTATATGACATTTTAACTGTCAATGTCTTAATACTGTTTACTTTTACTGCAATAAAATACACATATTTGTATTCAGTAAAGTCTCACGTGTAAAACAGTACCCCCTATGTACAGGTTTTATGGCATTTTGGGAAGTTACAGGGTCAAATATAACACGTTACATTTGAAATTGAAATTCGCCAGATTGGTTACGTTGCCTTTGGGACTTTATAGTACCCCAGGAATGAAATTTACACCCATAATGGCATACCATTTGCAATAGTGGACAACCCAAGGTATTGCAAATGGGGTATGTCCAGTCTTTTTTAGTAGCCATTTGGTCACAAACACTGGCCAAAGTTAGCGTTAGTATTTGTTTGTGTGAAAA